ATCCTTTCACTTTGAGCCTGAGTGTCTTTGGAAATGAAATGAGTCTACTACAGGCAGCATATATTTGGGTCTTGTTTATTTTTAACCCATCTAGTCAGTGTCTCTTGACTGATGAGTCCAAACCATTTTCATTTTAGGTGATTACTGACATGTAAGGATTTATTGCTGCCATTTTTGTCTTTTGCCTTCTAATTATTTTGCCTCTCCACTGTTTTTATCCTTCTGTTTCTTTCTACCTTTGTAAACTAGTGGTTTTCCATGGTGACTTGTTTTGCCTCCTTTTTGGTTTTGTATTGTGTCTCTGCTGTAGATTTTTACGTATGGTTACAAGGTTTTCATGAAGTATCTCATAGGTAAAATAGTCCTTTTTTTTGCTGACAGCAATTTATCTTGCCTATAAAGGTTCCATCCATCCTTTTACCTTCCCTTTTTATATTTTTATGTCACCAATTGTCTTTTTATGCTGTTACTGTTACCAATTGCAGTAGAGTAACTAGTTACTTTTAATGCTTCCCTTTGACTTTTATGCTATAATTGTTTGATATGTTATCAAAAAATAGTTTTCTTACTCTTAATCAGAGTTTTGTTTACTTTTGTCTTTTCATTTCCACTCAAAGACTTCCACATTTCTCATAAGGCAGGTCTAGTGACTGGTGAACTCCCTCAGCTTTTGCTTGTCTTGGAAAGCCTTCATTTCTCTTTCATATCTTCATGAAGAACTTTACCAGGATGTAGTCATCTTAACCTGCAATTTTTCTCTCTCAATACTTTCAATATGTATGTCATACACTCTTTCCTGGCCTTTAAAGTTTCTGCTGAGAAATCTGCTAACAGCCTAATGGGGTTTCCTTTGTTGGTTACTGTATTTTTTCTTTCTGGATGCCTTTAAAATTCTTCATCATTGATTTCTGACAATTTTAATATAATGTATCTTGGAGAAGATCTTTTTGTGTTGAAATAATAGGGTGTTCTACCAGCTTTGTAGACCTGTAACTTAAGTTCCTTCCAAAGGTTTGGGAAGTTCTCTTATTTAAACACACTCTGCTGCTTTCTCCCTCTCTTCTGGTAAGCCCATTAATCTTATGTTAGCTCTTCTAATGGAGTCCATAGTTCTTGTAGGATTTCTTCGCTTTTAAAAAATCTTAGTTCTCTCTCACCTTCTATCTGAAACATTTTTGTATTTCTAACCTCTGGCTCACTTATTCTCTCTTCCATCTGGTATGCTTTATTTCCAGCACTTTATTCACCTCTTTTATTGAGTTCTTCAGCTCCAGAATTTGTTTGGTTCTTTTTTTAGAATTTCAATTTCTTTGGTGAAGTACTCCTTCTGTTCTTTAATTTTATTCCTGAAATCATTCATTGCCTTCCTGAGTTTTCTTGTAGCTTGGTGAATTTCTTCACAACATTTTCAAATTCTTTATCAGTTAGATCACAACAGTCAATGTCTTTGGGTTCGAGTACTATCCAATTGTCATTTTCTTTTTGTGATGCCACATTACTGTGATTTTTCATAGTGTCTGATGAAAAGTGCCTCTGCTACTGCAATTCAAGTAGCAGTCTTATTTAGGTAAAGCTTGGTTTATTTTGATTCTAACAATTCAACAGGTTTATAAACAGGAGACTTTTATTTTCCAGAAGGTTACTACTGCACAATTTCTTGGCTTCTCCTATTAGAGCTGAGTAGGTTGGGAGCATACTCATAAAAAATGTTGTTGGAGAGGGGAAAAAAGGGTAGCCAGAGAGTCGGGGCAGGTGTTGGTACTTTGGGTCCACAGACCAGAGAGGGGCATCCTTGAGTAGGGGTTGTCCCAGATGTCCATAGGTGGTCCTCTTGCAAGAATCCTGTGGCAGACAGCAGGTAGCACGTTCCTTCAGTTCTCTTTGCCAATTCTTCCCTTGCCCCCAGTCACTGTGATGTCTTCTCAGAGACAGGAACAGGTTTCTCCAGCTGCAGCATGTGTGTCCAGGTAGACTCTCGCTCACCATGTTCATCCTCCACCTTCTCTGCCAGAAAGGTCATGCTAGTCTGCTGCCACCCCTGCCAACACTCACCTGGCTCTACAGCCTCATCTAAGGTTCAGTCCACCCACTTGGGGTCAACAAATGAACAGATCTCTTGGGTGCCCTGGTGTGCTGTGCGTAAGTGCTTCTCTTTTTATTTTTGTTTTGGTTATGAATGTCTGATTATAAATCAAAAGGGAGAGGAAAAAAGTGACACTCCTATGATGATGACACCAAGACCTGTCCAACTTTTACTACTGTTAACACCTTTCAAAAGGCCCATAATCCAGTCAAACTACAATAGTTTTGCTCCTCCAACCACAGTGCAGCCTTTTCCACCTGTGTCAACTCAAATAATTTCTTCTGCCTGGAATGTGCTTCCTATCCCTCTCTCAGAGCCCCATCTATACCATGCTCTGGTATGCTATGTTTATAACGACTCAGTAGGCACAGTTCAAATGTCATTTTCTCCATGATGCCCTTAGCTAGAAAAATGTCTTCCTCTTTCAAATTCCCATGATACTTTTTCCTTATCTTCCTTCGGTACCTAAAACTGTACCTCATATTGTGATTAACTGTGCACCTGGCATTATGTGAACTTCACCCAGGTTTGTATTTTCTTTTTTTTTAAAATATATTTTATTGATTATGCTATTACATTTGTCCCATTTCCCCCCTTCCCTCCCCTCCACCCTGTACCCCCTCTCCCACCCACATTCCCCCACTTTAGTTCACGTCCATGTGTCATTCTTATGAGTTCTTTAGCTTCTACATTTCCCGTACTATTCTTGCCCTCCCCCTATCTATTTTCAACCTACATTCTATGCTACTTATTCTCTATACCTTTTCCCCCCCCCCTCCCCTCCTCCCACCCCCCCCCCTGCTGCTAGCCCTCCATGTGCCCTCCATTTCTGTGGTTCTGTTCCTGTTCTAGTTGTTTACTTAGTTTCTTTTGGTTTTGCTTTAGGTGTGGTTGTTAATAATTGTGAGTTTGCTGTCCTTTTACTATACATGTCTTTTCTTTATCTTCTTTTCTTAGATAAGTCCCTTTAGCATTTCATAAAATAAGGGCTTGGTGATGATGAATTCCTTTAATTTGACCTTATCTGAGAAGCACTTTATCTTCCCTTCCATTCTAAATGAGAGCTTTGCTGGATAGAGCAATCTGGGATGTAGGTCCTTGTCTTTCATGACTTGGAATATTTCTTTCCAGCCCCTTCTTGCCTGTAAGGTCTCTTTGGAGAAATCAGCTGACAGTCTGATGGGAACTCCTTTGTAGGTTACTATACCCTTATCTCTTGCTGCTTCTAGGATTCTCTCCTTCGCTTTTACCTTGGCTAATGTAATTATGATGTGCCTTGGTGTGTTTCTTCTTGGGTCCAACTTCTTTGGGGCTCTCTGAGCTTCTTGGATTTCTTGGAAGACTGTTCCCTTTGCCAGATTGGGGAAGTTCTCCTTTATTATTTGTTCAAATAACTTTTCCACTTGTTGCTCCTCCCCTTCTGGTACCCCTATAATTCGAATGTTGGAATGTTTAAAGGTGTCCTGGATGCTCCCAAGGCTCTCCTCAATTTTTTGAATTCTTATTTCATCATGCTTTCCTGCTTGATTGATTCTATCTTCCTTCTGGTCCACTGTATTGTTTTGAGACTCAGATTCCTTCCTGTCTCTATTGGCTCTCCTCCGCGTATCTTCCTGCATCTCTTTTATGGTAACCTGCATCCTTTCATCTAAATTGCGCCCAAAATCAACCAATTCCGTGAGCTTTCTGATCACCAGCGTTTTGAACTGTGCATCTGATAGATTGGCTATTTCTTGGTCGCTCAAAAGGATGAGTCCTGGGGGACTGATCTGCTCTGTTGTACACATGTCTTATGTCTTTCCGTGTCTCTCCAATTTTTTTTTTTTCCCCGGTCTGGTCGCTCTTGTTACGGTGGGGGGCGGAGCCTTAGGTGTTCACCGGGGCTGGGCGCCCCAGTCGCTAGATTGTGACGTTATATTGGGGGGCGGGAGCGGGGATGGGAGGGAATCAATGGTGGCAGTTCAGTTCTCCTGGGCCCAGACCCTTCCCCGGGCTCCTGGGCTGCGAGCTCTGCCCTGGTCCACAATCGCTGCCCCACTGGGTCCGGCAGCTGCAGCTTGCATACTCAGGGATCACCACTGCGTTCTTGCACCCCAGATGGCTGTCACGCCGATTCCGCACCAAACTTTCCCCAACCTCCGCACGCTGCCGACCCGCGCCATCCCTGCGCCCGCTCGGCTCGTCGTCTCCTACCGGTCTGGATGTACGGGTCTACTTCAACTTCTTGGCTGTCCAACTTCCATTCAGATAAATCCTCTGTCAGTTCTGTGTGTTATGCTGACCGTAATTTATTGTTGTTCTAATCTTGGTTGTGCGAGGAGGTATGGTGCGTCCACCTATTCCTCCATCTTGCCCCAGGTTTGTATTTTCTACAGTGTCTTTCAAAGAGGAGGTCTTTGCTAAAATTTTAGATGATTTTCAAATGTCTTTTTGCTCTCCATTTCTAGCAAGCTATTCCCCAAATAGTATCATTGATTTGTCATTTAACTCTCAAAAGAATTATTTCTTTGAAAAAAGAATTAGTATTTTCTCAGTGTATCAAAGTCAAGAATAATTTCCCCTTCCTACAGAAAAAGTCAACACAAGACTCTAATAGCTCAGTAATTATCATAATTCCAGAAAGCTGTATAACTTAGGCAAGGAACATAAAATTTTTCTATCACAACAAATCCAAAATTTGTTTCCCAAGTGTGGTGAAGACAAACTAAATTATGTTTTTAATGGCTTAAATGTTTGTATAATACAAAGGCCAGCCATGTAAGAAACTAATTTTGCCATTTAAAAATTATACTACTTCAAGGCTATGGTTTTCCAAATGTTAAGATATTAGGAGTAATTTAATAAATTGTACACAGGGGGAAATGGGGGACTTAAGGCAACAGTTCTCAAATTTTAAGGTGAAGACCAATATACCAACCTTCTTGTTTCCCTGAAATTACTTCGGCATGAGAGTCAGAAAACAGAAAATCAAAGTGCACAGGGATATCAGTCAGAAGGTCTTCCAGAATGGCTTTCTGCTGGCTGTAAGACAATAAAAAATTTACATATCAAAATATTATACAGTAAGTTTTTGTTTTAAAGGAGGGAAAAAACCCTACTCTGACTCTGGCATATCCTATATGAAAATGAAAACTTTTAAAACCAAAGCAATTTATTGAAAAGATTGTTTATTTTAGGAAGAAATTTTCAAGAGTTTTGTGAATTATGGCATTCCTAGACCTAAAACTACAAATCCTTAAACTAATAAAATGAACACTCAGTTTTTTTAATGACAACTTTATAGTTTACTATTAACTTACAATTATAAACATATTAAAAAATATTTGGTGAGTTCTACCTAAGGGAATAGTTGTGATATTATTTCAGATTTGAAAAAATAATGTTTAATGTCTTCCTTTTGATGATGATGATGGAAGAGGAGGAAGGGGAGGGGGAAACAGAGGGAAACAGGGAGGAAAATAAACCACCATCACCACCAGCCTAGACTGCCTTGTGTGGATGGAGGATCACCTTTCAGGGAGGATTCTCATTCCAGCTGTGCAAAGAATGTAGAGAGGGGTCTCTTTGTGTTTTGCCCGTGGCACATGCTCTGCAGCAAAGTTCAAGAGCGGAGAAATGTAATCACTGACCTTCTCTGGAGAGGTAGCAAACTCTGAAATGCCTACAAAAAAGGACACCTCTGTTAACAAGTATATATTTTAGCTGGTAAGTTATACTTCTTCAATGTGGCTAATCTGAGAGCAATTCGAGCTATACACCATACTCTCCTAGTTTTTTCCCACCCACCTGACACAGCTTTCAGTCTCTCTTCCTTAAATGATGACACTTTGTTCAGTGCTATTCTCTCTTATTCTCACTCACCAAAGTCACAGATCTCATTGAGCACCTATTATGTGTCACTCAGAATTGATTATACACGAGCTCATCCCTGCCCTTGGGAAATGTGCTCCCACTTTCTTCAGGCAAGCTTATTCCTGTGGTTGCCATCACCATCAATACATCTTGGATTTATCTTATCAGCAGCCACCCAGATCCCTTCCCAAACCTGCAGATCAGTATGTAGTAACTGTCCACCGGACAAGGCCATCTGCTTGTCCTCACAGCCCTCCAAAACTCAACATATGCATATCTGAACTCAATGACCACTGGAAACCTGCTCTTACTGCCTGCTACCTATCTCAGTGACCACTCTCTCTAGCTGTCCAGTGGCTCAAGCTGGTATCCTGAATAAAATCCCTCTCCCTCCCTCCAGCATGTGTTCTGGGTTTCATTGATTTCATTCTGGGTCTCCTTGGTTCCTCTCATGTTTTTACACTTCTCATTTCTTCTGAATACCTCCACCTTCTACCAGCCTACACATCCTACTTTCCATTTATGAAATTCCCTGACCATTCCTTAACACAAAGGAGTCTCTTCTTGGCTTAAAATCCTCTTGGGGCTCCTCAATGCCCTCCAGATAAAGCGCAACTCTAGAATGGCATGAACTCCCCGCATACTCACCCATCGTATCTCCTCCCACACTCCTTCCATTTGGCTTCAACCATACTGAACAGAATTTCTGTTAACACATCACACTCTGGCTTTAGGGCTCCTGCCTCCACCAGGAAGAACCTTCTCTTTCACTGCCTCCCTACCCACTTCCCCTTATCCACAGAGCTACTTTCTCTGTGGAGGGAAGTCTCCCTAACAGAACCCTGAAGACAAGCTCTCTTTGCCTCCTGTGCTCACTTCTAGCTGCAGCACTCACTGCCTTGTCCAAATCACCTATTTACTTGCTAGTCTCTTTTCAATTTCAAGTTTCTCAAGGGCACAAACTGTCTCGTTCAAATGTATATTCTCAGCACTAATACAGGGCTTAGGAAATAGTATGTGCTCCACAAATACTTGCTGAATGAGTAACAAGTGAGTATTTCTATTTGTCAGTGAGCCTACAATATTAAAGATGAGGGGAATTCTGGAAGTCCAAATCTTCCTGTTTCACAAACTAGGAAATTATGGACCCAGAAAAATTAAGTTATTTGTCAAAGCAATGAACAGAAAACAGACTAAAAGCCAGTCTTTTTTTGACTCCACATATAATACTGTTTCAATGGACATCAAGCCCAAAACTATCCAGAATCTATTAAGAAAATTTCTAGAGTGTTGCTGTAATGCTATACATGACAGACTATACTTCAGGACAGAGAAAAGCTGTAAAAATGTTCTTGAATTTCCACTTAAAGCATTTCCTACAGCATCAGAGAGACTGAAGTTAAGCCTCATTTTAAGGAGGGTCTGGTGTTTACCCTAGGATGCTGGTGTAGCTGTCCTATGGTTCTCAAAGGGAAACTCCAAGGTGTGGAAGTGTTCATCCTACTCCATGAGAGTAGTTTAATCACTGATGGAATCTGGTATGTGAAGCTGGATGAAATGCAAGGTGCTTTAGTGAGTTTTAGTTTTTAAAATCCTGGTGAATTTCTTATTTCATCAATATTACTTTAACACTGAAAATAATTCTAGATTAGGGATACACAAATTCCAGGGATGGAAAAAAGAGAAGTAAAAATTAAGTCATTCACTAAGGCTTAGAGGAAAAAATGATCTTTGTTAACAAAAGTGTACTCCGCTATCAAAATAACACCTGTATAAGACACTTAGATTCAGTTTCCTCTTTATCCTGAAAAATGAAGTTGAGTTTTTGAATTTTCTGAGTATTATGCTGGTGCCTCGCTGCCTAAACATCAGAGTTCCCGGAGAAGGAAGCGGAGCCTGAATATTCAATGAAGAATAAGAAGGGCTCTAGGGCCCACAGTCTATGCAGTTAGGAACTGTTTTATGAGGGCAGGTATTCTATCATGTTAAAACTGAAGCTCCTTTTCACTTATTTTTGAAATAGGAGATAAGTTATGATAATTATTTTTTAACAATATCCTCTAATACTTTAAAAGATAAATTCCTTGGATTGTTTACATATAATATTTTACTCTCTAAATCATTTGGCAAGATAAAATTAAAGTGCTGAATCTCTAAGATGTATGGTTTACTGTTTTACATTAGTGATTATCAACTTATCAAGACATAAAATGCCTATTTCAAGGTACTCCTGACACCTTCTATTCCTAATGCTCTTTACAGAAGGGTGCTGCCCAAGGAAATGATGTAGATACAGACAAAAGGTTGAAAACTACTGATTTAAACTGGGGAAGACACATCCCAATTTTTCTGTAACACATTGACTTAGAAATTGCAGTATCTTTAAAAACTGGACATAATGAGATCAGCTCTTTTAAGTTCTATGGTCATCCTTATTAAATAATCTAGATGATTAGAAATATACCGAGGCAGCAATTTTTAAAATGATAAGCATATGCCAATGTATTAGAACACAGATTTCCATGAATTATCTGAAATTATCTTGTCATTAAGGATAGAGACCAATGGCTACCAAATAGAAAAAAAAAATCCCTCCATAGTTAACATCAACTCGCAAACATGTGAGTAGACACCATGAATAAGGAACTATGGTACATGCTGCAGGAGACAAAAGAAAGACACGGTTTTTGATATTTTATTAAGGTGTTAGTCACCTTATGCAAGGAGGATAGAAAAGAGAAAAGGAAATGAAAAAAGTAAAACAGGAAGACCAATTCAGTTGCTGTGAGCTCTGAATTAGGGTGATGACTGTGGGGATGAAAGGGCAAAATGTGGAAGACACCACAAAGGCCAAAAGGACAGAACCTGGTTGTCACTTACATACCTGGTTTTATTTTCATAACCACTGGCTTTCGGTTTTTATCCCTCATTTGTCTGATATCTAACAGATCATGAGGATTGCCATTATGCCTGGGCCAGCAATAGACAAACACTCGAGACCCGCTGCTACCACAGTCCACCACGATGCCATAGTTCACATTGGGGTTGTTAGTGTCTGTAGCTTCAATGTCAGTAACTCGTGCCAAGTACCTTGTTCACAAAAATAAACATATACTTTTGAGACAGAGGAAAGCACCCTAAACGTAAGAGTCAGTGCAATAAACAAATACCAAATCAGTGATTTCTAAGCTGTGCAGTAGCACCAATATACCATTTTCTCAACTGCCAAATTAAAGAGTCAGAAGAAAACCAGTGACAGCAATAAAGATAATCTAAATCAGATATACAGTCATTATTCCTTTAAGGAAGTTCAAACAAGTTCTGAAGAGCAAAACTACTTCCAAACTATCAACAATAACTGAAAAATCAGCTTAAAGATATCACAGAAGAAGCTTATGTTAAATCCTCTTAGGATGTGGATTTGGTGGTTAATGATTAAACAGTATCAAATAGTTTAATTTTTCATGCCCTGCTGTATTCAGCACAGCATCTGTTTCGTGTAGCCACAGCCTCCTTAAATTCCCCCTCATCCCAAACTCTTGAAGCCATGAAATGAATATATGACATCCATCTTGAAAATAAATGTTTTTTTCTCTTACCTTTGAAACTTCTTGTCTCTGGATAGTCGCCCATACTTATTTCGGATTATGACAACAGAAAAGTATAAAAGTGAAACAGCAGCAGCCAGAATACTAATAACAATAATTTGGCGTAAATTGGTATTCAGAATTCGAGGACACCCCACAGGAGAGATGCTAAAATGCCAGGAAGCAGGAAAAAGACAGGAGATGCCAATCCTGAAATTTCAAAAAAACAGATTTTAAAGCAATCTGCTCCAAACTTCACCTCAACTGATCCAAAAGCAAGACATTCAGTTTGAGCTGTCCCTACATCCCCGCCGGTGGGTATCTATAACCCAGTGTTGTCCATATTGCTATTTTGCTACGTAACTCATTGCAGTCATGCACTGCGTAATGATGTTTCAGTCAACAATGGATTGCATATATGATAGTGATCCCATAAAACTATAATGAAACCTGAAAACTCTCATCGCTTAAGTGACATAATAGTGCAACAACTCATTACTCACATGTTTGTGAGTAATAAACAAACCTACTGTATTGCTGGTCATATAAAGTGAAGCACATACAATTACATACAATACATAATACATGATGATAATAAATGACTATGGTGTTGGTTTATGTATTTACTATACTATATTTTTTATCATCACTTGACATATTAAAAGACTTCTTTTTATTTATTTTGAGAGAGAAGGGAGGGAGAAAGAGAGGGAAAGAAACATCAATGTGAGAGAGAAACATCGATTGCTTGCCTCTCATATGAGCCCCAACTGGGGACCAACTCTGCAACCTGGGCATGTGTCCTGACTGGGAATTGAACAGTGACCTTCCACTTTGCAGTACGATGCCCAACCAACTGAGCCATGCTAGTCAGGGCTTTATCATTACTTTAGAGTGTACTCTTTCTACTTATATAAAAAAGTCTCCCATGTGATGAAGACAGCAGCCTCATACATCTCGTGTCTACTGCATCCCTTGATTGTATCATTTTCTCTTGTGCCTGGTTCAATCTTGTGTTGCTTTATACAGTAACGTCTGTACAGGTATACAGCCTAGGATCAACAGAATATAACCTATAACCTACATATGTAGTAGCTACACCGTCTAGGTTTATGTAAGTGTATTCTGTGAGGTTTGCACAATGACGAGATGGCCTACCAACGTATATCTCCCATCATATCCTCCTTGTTAAGCAGCATATGAATATATTATAAATGAGATGAGTGAGAATCAAGCCCTTCTGTTTTCCCTTTCTTCAAAGAATTATGCAGATTTTATTTGTATCCCGCTTTGTTCCAAAATATTAGAGACAGCTTATAAGAATGAGATCAGTAACATACATATATAAATCTGTAATAAAATCAGGTTTAAGAATGATAAAACCAAAAGACAATTTAGTACATATGAATATATGTAATCGGGTAGGCCTTCATAGGTGGCTGAGCATCCTCATGGCCAACACATTGCCCATTATATTAAAAACATATAAATAGCTTAGAAGGAACAAGATTTTCTTAACAATTAATTAAAAGGCAAATTTCTCCCTGATGCTTAGTGAAAATTAGTATTTTTTTAACAACATCCTCATAACAAAGTCAATAAATGAGTTATGTATATTCTGTTTTTCTCGAAATATTCCTGAGACACTTTAGCAAATAAACACTTTTCTTCTCAGTTTATGTCAGGAAAGAGAAACTTTATTAGGCTTAAAAAAACTGCTAACTTTAGGATACATTCTATGGTTGTACACTTAATTTCTACACACTTCCCTTTAAAGAGTGCTTTATGGACTCACAGAAGGAGGTGGTATTCTATTAACCTAGTAGAATTTTCCATTTGTAGTTTCTACTGTTCATGTGGGCTCTTGGGCCAGTCCGTGCAGTTTATGACCCCTTCCCCACACCTCTGAGACTTAGAGACAGTTATCCTGTGTTTAATACAACCCCTCGCAGACGCCAACACACATGTCCTTTCTGACACACTACATTAACCCTGTAGAATCCACCTGGCTTAATGACTTTCTTTCTGTGACAGGTGTCCCATGGGGCCCTGAAAGAACAAAGGTATTAAATAGAAGTGTAGCACAACTCTGAACAATTTTCACTTGGGATTTAGATTATTTCCCCCTCTCAAAACCTGTTTCGGCGGCACCAAAACCTTGGGTTTTCCAATGCAGGGATTAGGCACCATTACTCACCTCCCCATGCTGAAGGGACAGAGGTCAGGCAGTGTTCTGGGAGTCAAACATCCTCCACCATTACAGAAACAATGGGGTCTTCCCGGAGTCAGAACCCTCCTGTTCCAGGAAGTAAGAAAAATCACAAAGATGGCCCAATCCAAGAAACACCTATGTTCTTTATCTATTGCATGTTTAAATCCAAACCCACAAAATCTGGTACCTTATCCTTGTACTGAAGCTGTTAAGAAGGGTTTATGTTGAGCAGTAGCTTCTGCATTAGCACTGATCTAGCCCCTGACTATCTTTCTAGCCTCATCCCCTGACAGGCAGACAGATTTGTACCCTATGCTCCAGCCATATTAAACACAAGCTGCAAGTTACTGAAATGCCTTGCATTCCTTTGCATGTCTAGAATGACTCCTTTGGGTCCACCTGTTGGTGTTCCTATGTAATCCTCATGACACATGTCAGCCACAATTCCTCTGTGAGGACTACTCTAATCTTCATCTCCCCAAAGTACTTGCTCCTCACAGTAGTGGGCTGCAGTATTATACTTGTGGCTGGCAGACTTTCTCATCACGTGGCAAGCCCCTCACTGGCAGGGACAGTCCCTTAGTCTTCTGTTTCCCCAGTGACCAGTGCCTATCACACAAGTGGTGAACAACCATTGTTTGCTTCACGGATGGCTGGGAACGGGAGATACGAAGATGAATCAGACATGGATCCAGCCCTTAAATTTATAATGCAGTAGAGGGGGAAATACACACATGCGCACACGCACACAGAGGCCTGCCTGGCAAAGGCGAAAAAATCCCTTTAATTAGTTCAGGGTTTAGTATGGTGTCCACATTGTATCACAGACACAAAACTTAGGACAAACAACATTTGTGATTTAAAGGTTTATGCAAAAAGGAAAAGTATGTCAATTACCTAAGAGCTTAAATGAATTTTAATGTGTTTTTATAAAGAAGCTACTTTTAGCATTTGAATATAGTGAGATTACTACATTCTATCTTTATTAGAATTCCAATGGCTTAAAGATTTAAATATTAAAAATGTCCATTAACATGTAAGATGAAAATGTAGGCACCGTATTTTTTGGACCGTAAGATGCACATAGGTTTTAGAGAAGGAAAATAGGAAAAAAAATTCTGAAGCAAAAAATGTGGTAAAATATTTAATAACATAAATAATATTTTACCAATGTAAATGTAAACAGAACTCAACAGCAGCATTAACAACCATTATTCCTCCCAAATTTTGGGGGGGTTGCACCTTATAGTCTGAAAAATATGGTAAGTATTTACATAATCTTAGAGTGGGTAATGCTTTTCTACAATGATATCAGTGTCTCAAACCATAAAAGAAAGAAAATACATCTACACATGAGTTAAAGACTTCTGAATGTTTAAAAATAAAAATCCTTTCCCAAACACACAAAACTTGGGAAAATTAGTTGTAACGTATGTGACAAAAGGTAAATATCTTACATATAAAAAGTTCATAAAATAAAATACATAAGAGAAACACTGGAATGGGCAAGGATAACTGGAAATTAATTCAGTAAGAAAAATAAATGGCTGATAAAATAGCTTCATTAGTTTTGAGAGAAATATAAATAAAAACAAGACTTTATCACTATCAGGTTGGTAGAGATTAAGGACTGCTAACACTTGGCAAACAAGGGAGGGAGGAGGGCTAGGTCACTGGGAAGAACCTAAACAGGTACTAATCTTCTGGGGGCATATTGGTAACAGGCATGGCAATTTTTTAACATACTTACCCTCTATTCAACCTATCATACTTCCAGAAATTCATCCTTCAAAATAACAGGGTAAAACTAAAACTAAAATATGTATAAAGATGTTCGTCCTAGTATTGTATATAATAGCAAAACACTGTTTCAAAACTAATGTCTATTACAGGGGATGAGTTAAGTTAAACATGGCCATTTATGCAATAGAATATGATGTGACCACTAAAGGTGATCATGCAGCTCTCTATTTATTGACATGGAAAGATGTCCATGATATATTAAGTGAAAAATTTACACTGTACATAAAATGGAAGGAAAGAAACCAAATTGTTAACAGTGATTAGTTATTTCTGAGTAGTGAGATAATGGATCATCTTTATTTTGTTCCCTAGGCTTGTCTATATTTTTTAAAGGGTGTGTATTAATTTCATCATAAGAAACAACGGAACTATTTTTAAAAAGCTACCTTTGACTGACATCTTCAGTTTCCAGCATCAAATCCTCTTCAGGACAGATAAAGAAAATCTAGCTTAAAAACTCTTCATGATATAGGAATTCTGATTGGAACATTTTTTTGTGATAGTTGAACTAAAATTAAAAAATGAAAAACAACAACAAAAAAGCTTTAGTTAACAGCCTAAAGTCAAGGTCCTTGGGGGAAGCAAGGCCTTTAATGATGCAATGATGAGGACTATGAAGTGACTGAAGGGCACTGAGAAATATCACACCTGACTCTGGATTTCAAGGAGTCTGCAGACTGGTCACAGAGAACATACTAATACCCAGGAAATAATCAAGAGTATAAGAGAAGGCAATATTACATTATTTGGACTATAAGATCTGAGAGAAGAGTTGATGAAGGCTGATAAATAGGAACAGATTCCAGAAGGTCAGAGGCCAACTTTGGAAGGGGGAGAGCAGAGAATGCATTTCAAAAGAGAAGATGCACTGTTAGAAAGATCATAGCAATCTGAGTAAGTGTTATTTAATCTGGTGTTTGTCTTAGGACTTTGTGTTGAGATATGCAAGGATTTCCACAAAAAGGATAAACATATTTTTGTAAGTTACAAAACTTGTGTTTAAGGACAGAGAGAAAACGGGACAGCTTACAAATTGCTGAAGTAATTACTTCTATTTAGGAAAAAAGTATGGCTGAATATTACCCCAGCAGTAAACACTATGGCAATTTGACCTTAAAATGTAAACTCTCATTGTATATGCAGCCAAGAATCTTGGCTCCAAAGTTTAGGGAGGCAAAGTCTTAGTAATATGACATAAAATGCCATGTTTTTTTAAAGACCTAAATTGTGTTAGACCCATCGATCATCAGAGAGATGCATTTACTGCATTACGATTTCAGCTAGTGCAGCCTTCCTTAGCTCAATGTTCCTTGGTGGAGTAAAATACATCTATTTCTCTCACTGACAGTCCTAAGAAAACCAGTGAAAACAATATAAATCACCTGCCAAGTGAAATGGTTCCTGTGGTGGAAAGTGCATAATTCAGTAAGACAGACATTAGCAAATTCTCATCATATGCAAACAAAATCATAGACATGTAAGACTCTGGAAGAGCTAGACTTCTGAGTAAAAAAAGGTGTGATGACACGATGGATGCTTTAAAAAAGAATGATATGAGTATCAAAGGTTACAAGAGGACCCTGAAAAATCAAAGACACCCACAAACACTTCGGTAGATTTTTGTAAGTAACTGTCTTTGTGAGAGTGAGAGGCCAAGGTGAAGTGAAGGATACTCTGTGGCACTCAGTTGTGGGAAAAATACATCAAAACAATTTGATTCATTCTTCGTTTTAAGAAGAATGCATGTAGTTGCATTTATAATCCATATTTTCCTTTTTAAAAAGATTTTATTTTTCTTTTTTAAGATTTTATTTATTTTTAGAGAGAGGGGAAGAGAGGGAGAAAGAGGGAGAGAAACTTCAATGTGTGGGTTGCCTCTCAAGCACCCCCTACTGGGGACCTAGCCTGCAAACAAGACATGTGCCCTTACTGGGAATTGAACTAGCAACCCTTTGGTTCACAGGCCAGCACTCAATCCACTAAGCCACACCAGCCAAGCGCTGATCAATACTTTTTAAGTATTTAATTTTAAATAAAAAAATTTATTTTTCAATATTAAGTCTTACCCAAACATCTTCCTCTCCCTATTCATTTGGAAAATTCTGGTCCCCATTTTAAGAGATCTTTTTCTTGTCACACTTTTTCTGAATCACCTGTGCAGATTCTCAAATATGCAACTCTGACTTTCCTCAAGTTCCAGTTCCACATTCTGAGTTTACTGATGGCTGTCATCACAAACACATTTAGTCTAAGTATGCAGTCACCATCTTTGACAAAAACTAACACCACTTCCCAAGTTCGCCACATCCAAGAAGGGTATCACCACTGACTGGAGTCACCAAGTTCTTAACTTTGATTCCCGCTTATCTGTGTGCTGACATATGGTATCATTCCTCAGGTCCCATCAAGTCGTCCTCAAAGAAGCCACATATCTAACATGACCACAGAAGACATCACCAGACAGACCTCTAGGCAGGTCACCCTCCTTCTGCCTTCACCGTGAACACCACCCTTCCGAAACAACTCTTGTAAAACACTACCTTCAACATATGACCAGCTGAAGAACTTTCTGGAGCCTGTGGGGCCAACACCTACTTTCCTGTGTGCTACCTGATACCTCCATCCATCCACTGATCCCATCTTATTTCACCTCCCCGTTCTCCCCTCAGTCCCAGATAACATCTTTCTGGTCTAGTGAGGTAGGTCTCTTCTCCACCCCACAAGCTGTTATCTTTCTTGTTTCAGGCCTTTACTAATGTCACTTCCTCCTAATATGTCCTGCTCTCAACATTACACTTCCTTCAAGGCAGGGGTCAATATTTTTCTTTGCAAAGTTTACATTGTTATACTTTCTAATGTTTTCCCACACTCTGCACCTATGTTCATTTTTTTAAAAAAACATGCTGAATAAATATGTAGAGAATAAAAATAAAACATATAAATGCTCGGATGAACTCTCATGCCTGTTTCTTCCCTCTAGACTGCATACACAAGGGCTGAGGTCATGCATTACCTCTAGGGATAGAAGAAAGCAAAACACAAATTTAATAAGCAGCAGTCACAGAAACACAGAAAGCAAGTAAATACAGAAATAAACTACTTATACAAACTAGTATTCCATTTTATAATTCTTTTAATGTGTAAAACGATTAACAAACCTGACACAAAGACAAGATAACATCAAATATAAGATAATACCAAATATAAGACAATAAAGAATATGATTCTTTTAGGTCTCTCCAGGGCTGGAGAATTAGGCATTGTTGTTATGCACGTCAGGATAGAGTCAAGACTGCAAAATGAAATTAAACTAGGGATTTGAGTCCCTAATTTAGAATTCTTTAATAACCTCTAGTTTATCTTCGAGCACAGAAGTTGCTGAATTGTAAAGCATCTCTTTCTTTCCTAACAATGATACATGTTCTCTGAAAATGCCCTGCACCGGTGTTCCCCTAACTGGTTCTGGTACATATTCTAGAGAACAAGAGAACTGTTTCTTTAAAAGGTGTCCACGCATTATTCACGTCTGAGAAACACTGTTCGCATCATGACTTTATCGCCCATTTTTTCCAAGGAGAAATCTAAAGCATGAAATTTAGTAAAAGCAGAGCAAAGCAAAATCGACGATGAACGTGTAAATGTTATGATAAGGCGTCCGGCGAGAACCACTCACTGGTCTTTGCAGCTAAATCTCCCTTCTCCTTGGCCAGGTTCCTCCCCGGTGTGGAACGGATCCACCCACACTACGTGTTAGAGGGAAAAGCCAACGTGGTCATCGGAGCCGGCGCGACAACACGAAGCCAGGCTTCTCCTCCTAGGGGCTGGGGGAGAGCACCTGCCGCCCAGGGTCACGGGCACTGGTTGCCCGGGCGCCCGGATGTGGCTGCGTGGTCTGGGCAGGCAAGGGCGCAGACAAGACAAGCGGCAGGAGCCGGGAGGCTCGCGGGCAATGGGCTCGTCGGCGGTTCTCGACGCCCCGGCTGAGCCCCACGGCCCAACAGTCTCAGCCTGGGCCGGCCGCCCTCCCCAAGACTGCGCTGGGAAGCCCGCCTCACCTGTTCTGCAGCGCTTGGCTCGGCGGCTGACGCTCCCAGGGGCGGAGAGCCGCGAGCGGAGCACATAGCGGCCACCACAGAGAGGAGGCGGGGGCGGCAACGCGGACCCCGTTTCCGAAGGCAACGCCCCTCACGGGCAGCCACACCGCCCGCTGGCCTCACCTGCGTTGCGTCACCGCCGCGCCGGGAGCGCGCACGTCGGGGCGGGGCCTGCGTACGGGGCGGGGTCTGTGCTGAGAGACCGGCATTACGTGCAGCGCACGTCTGCGTGATCGCAGGGGCACAGCTTGGTGCAGCGAATGGCGTGAGAGCAGCGTCGCAGAAGTAACTAGTACTGTGGCTTGGTTACCGCCCGCCCTAGTTGTATGGTTGTCAGCGAGCCGCAATGTGCTTATGACATAGTAGTTTACTTTGTGTTCCTAAGGATGATGGAAAATACCACAACCTAACAAGAACTAGTCATTTTTGCTCAACGCTTGATATTTTCCCCCAACTTTTGATATTTTTACAACTTTGCCAGTAGCTATACCTATTTTACAGATGGGGAAACTGAGAGACAAGCTCATTCAGTGAGTCTCTTGAAGTCCACATAAATAGTAAAAGCCAAACATCACCCACATCAGCGCTTATGCTGGGGAAGGCTGATGGCCCCAAAACAGGCAGTGGTTGTGAGAACCAGTGAGGTGAACAACATCGATTTCTGAGATTGACCCCATGATCTGATACTTAGCTCAGGGCTTCTCTCTCTAGCTTGAGGAAAAACTGCCTTGAAGTTACAGAGTTGGAAGAGACCTTGAGAATCATCATGGTTTTTATCCTTTACCCCCTTTTGTTACAGGTGAATAAATTGCTTTCCAGAAAAAGGAAGTGACCATCTAGGTTAGCCACTTAAAAATTTTTTAAATGAGAGCCCTAGAAAGGTCTATTCCATTACCTTTATTATTGTTGTTGTTGATTTTGTTACAAGATGCAGCCAAAAGGGGGGACCCCAAATGGGCATTTGAAATGGGGTCCAGAACTCAGGTGTTCAGGAGTTTTTAAGATGTCTTCACCCCTTCCCCCATAGGTGTGAGTTGGGGGAAGGGGCACACAGAACAAGAACATGCAGGGCAGTTATGCAGCTAATCCATGGCATAGTCATTTAACATACCTATAGCCTTTGGCTGGTCACTTAGATATGCTAAATAGCTATGGCCATGCTCTGGGCCAGGGGGATGGAAAGGGACTCTCCCATCCAAGATGTGACTGGGGCCAGGTCCCCTGAGTTACAGTGCCTGCATGGGAGCTTGGAGAAGATTGGCTCCATGACATGGGGCCGCATCTGCCCAGACCCACAATGGCAGCCCAGTAAAGCTGGAATGGACAACAGATTGAGGGCAAGTGTGGCCAAGTGTGGGAGGAGTCGGAAATGGGGCTGCAGAGGAAGACTGGCACAGGGATTTAAACCCAGATGCAGCAGCCATTGAGGAGGGAGAGCCACACAGCTTTGCCAGAGTGGGGACTCCTGTAGCCCTGCGAGAGAGAATCACCATGTGGCTTTAGCAGAGAATCGCCACTCGGCTTTGGCAGAGTGGTGACCCCCCCCCCCCACCCCGCAGATTTGTGGGGAGAACCACGAGGTTTTGGCTGAGTGGGGATTCCCATGACCCTGGGAGAGAGGACCATGTGCCTTTGCCAGAGTGAGGAACCCCACAGCTTTAGAAGGGGGAGCTACCACCCGGCTTTAGCAGAGATCCCTGCGACACAGCCGAGGGTGCTGGGAACTGAGGGAGGCCTACCAGCCAGGCACGGAGTACTGGGAAGATCCGGGGGCTGCCTGAGTCATGGACTTCTATTTCCTTTCCTGTTATACGGTACCCCAGACTGGGCAAAGGGGGAAGGAAGGGCTGTGCGTGTTTGTGGGTGTTTTCAGGGGCTTTGGGATTTGATGAAGACATTAGGTCACTACTTTAAGTTTGTATAGCATTAAATAAACATTTCCTTTCCTTTTCACGAATATTTCCTTCATTTCACGAATCTCTGGCTTTAAGAGACATCTTTCCTATAGGCAGCGAACATAATGGACCTGGGGGTTTCTTTCGGGTAATAGTATATCGTCCCAGGCCCCCACCCCTTGTTTGTTCTGTAACAATTTGAGAGAGAAAGGAAAGATCAATCAATTGCCTCCTAGATGTGACCCACCTCCTGCAACCTAGGTATGTGCCCTGATGAGGAATCAAACCTGCAATATTTTGGTGTACAGATGACACTCCAACCAACTGAGCCACCCAACCAGAGATACTTCACTACTTTTGTCAAGTAAAACAAGCTTGGGCAGCACTGGTAGTTATACATTTCCTGGCACAGAATGCTTCCTGTGCCAGCACCAGATTGGGTCATCTCTTCCTTGTGGAAATGTTTCATCCCTGGATTCAGATACTCTTCATGGAAGAAGGCCAGCAGTGACTAGGAGCCTTGTGCTTTAGAACTAAATACTGTCTCTCTCCTCTTGCTCCACATAGCAGTCATAAAACCACAGAATGTTCCAGCTCAAGGGACTGTAGGAACTGTCTAGTCCAAACCACCTCCTTTGTGAATGAATCTGGAACTCAGAGAGGCTGAGTGACTTGCTTTGGTCCCTGCAAAGAGGAAAGCAGAAACAATGGCTCTGACTCCTACCTCAGGCCCCTTCTAAGGCAATCTGTTGCTTTAAAAAAAAATGACCAGTTTGGTGGCTTACACATTAGAAACCTCTGTGACATGTACTTAAGGCTAGCTCTGAGAAGCTGAAGTAGTTGGCCACTGACATGCTCTTTCAAAAGAATGTGCCCTTCAAAGTCCTTACCATTTGACATAATGGTTTAGATTATGACAGTCTCTCTTAAGGAGGCCTCCACTAAAATGCCAGACTAGTATTATTATATTACCCCATCAGTATTTCCTGATAATTTGTATGTAATAATTATTTGATGAGAAATAATTATTTGATGGAAAGAAAAGTATAAAGAAGGATGAAAATATGAAACATGGTGTATCAGTTTGTTAGGTTTGCTGTAACAAAATACCCCAAACTTGGTGGATTAAAATGACAGAAATTTATTCTTCCACAGTTCTGGATGCTAGGAGTCTGAAATCACGGTGCTGGCAGGGTCATGCTTCTTTGAAAGACTAGGCGAGGATCCTTCCTTAGTTTTTCTGGTGGTTGCTGACAATCTTTTGCACTCCTCAGTTTGTAGACACATCACTCCTATCTCTGCCTCTGTTGTCACATGATGTTCTCCTGTGTGTCTCTGTGTCCAGATATTCCTCTTCTTATAAGGACATGGGTCATATTGAATTGAGGGCCCACTATAATCCAGTATGACCTCTTCTCAATGTAATTGCATCTGCAATTTGAAAATAGGGTCACATTCACAGGTTTCACAGGTCTGGGTGGACGTGAACTTTAAGGGGACATTATTCAACCCAGTACATGAAAGGACCACATCAGTCTGGGTCATCAGGGAAGGCTTCTCTGAGGAAATGATGTTTGTGGTCACACCTGCAAGATGAATAGAAGTTAACTTGAAGAAGGAGGAAGTCTGGGCCCATATGAAGGAGTATTGCTTCAGGCAGTGGAAACAGCAGAGGCTCAGAAGGAATGGAATGCAACTGTCAGAGTGATCCATCTACTTACTCTCACAAGAGAAAAAAAAAACAACCAAGCTAACAGGAGATACCACCCCCTGAGTACTTTATGCCAGGCACAGTTCTAAGAGAATGAGAAAACATTTCAAATAGAGTGATAATGAAATACATCAAAATTCAGGGAATATAGATAAAGCAGTACTTACCAAGAAAGTTATAGTTTTAAAAGCATATTTTAGTAAAATAAATATCAGAAGTCAATGATCTAAGTTTCCACCTTAAGAAGTTAGGATAAGAAAAGCAAATTAAACCCTAAGTGAGTAGAAGGAAAACAATTTTTAAAAATAAATTAGACAAAATTAACAAGCTACAAGTTATTTCTTTGAAAATATTAATAAAATAGATAAATTCCTAGTGAGATTGGTCAGGAAAAAGAAAGAAAACACAATGAATATCAAGAATAAAAGAGAAACATCACTACAGATCCTACAAAAGTTAAACAAATAAGAAAACATTATGGAAAACTTTACACTGATAATTTTAATAATTTAAATGAAATGGAAAGATTATTTGTAAAACATAATATTCCAAAATTGATGTAAGAAAAAATGAAAAATCTAAATAGCTCTATGTTTTTAAGGTTCCCTTCATCCCTGAATTACAGGCCCAGATGGGTTCCCTAATAAATTTTATCAACCATGTATGAAAGAAAGAAATACCAATCTTACATAAACTATTTCAAAGAAATAGAGAAGGGAACACTTTCTAACTCATAATATAAGGTCAGAATAATTTTGACACCAAGAAATAAAAAAGAAATAAAGTTATATATCAATACCTTTTAGAGACATAGATGAAAAATTCTAACAAAATATTGGCAAATCAAATCTAGCAATGTCTACAAAGCATCAGATAGCTTAACTAAGTGCAGTTTTTGCAGGAAATGCAAGTTTGGTTCAACTTTAAAATCAGAATAAAGGAGACAATTCATGTCATTCATATGCTCTCGGTGTCGAAAAAACATTTTACAAAATTCAACTCTCATTTATGATTTAAACAACCCCCCCAAAAACCTCTTATCAACCATATAGGAAATGATCTTCAGTTCAATAAGGTGTCTGCAAAAGAATGAGACCAAAGTACCTCATTACAGGTTTGTTATTTTTAAAGTACTAAGTGAGGGTTTGGGGAAAAGTGACATCTGGGCTGCAGAAGCCTTCCCACAACCACAGGGTGATGGTAATGCAGACAAGAAGCCAATACTAAACCTGATGAAATAGGCAGGTGGGGTTACTCAGGTCTGCCATGGCACTGAACAAATACCAGCTACTGGATCTACTGCTTCACTTTTTGTTATGAGAGACAAATAAAGCCTTTGTTTAAATTACTTTTGCCTGGATAGCCCATTACTTGCTGTTAGGTCTTTAAAAATATTTGTGGACTAGTTGATTAAAAACTAGAAGGAACCTCAAGTGGGCATATTTCCTAGCTGTTTTTCTTTCATTTGTTTAGGCTTCATTTACATTTTATGGATGAGACAGCTGAGGTCTGAGAAGCAAAATGACTTGTTCAA